GACAAGTTAGTTGGTTGTGTGGTGGGTGTTCAACTGGGCTTAAACACACCTCATTCCTTGCTATGCATAAAAAGAGGAATGTTGACTCTGTTCCAGGACAAAACCTTTTGGGGGAGCTTGAAAGCAGCAGGAGAAAACAACTATTATTTACATTTATACAGTACCTTTCAGGATGGGAGGATGTCTCAACTGAATGGGAGTCTGAGCTGGGAGCAGGGAGGGGAGCTGAGGATGGGAAGACAAAGGCGACCAAAAGGCACTTTGGAGCATCTTACAGAGTTAAAAGCACTTCCTCTACAACATCCCTTATCCTGAAAACACTTCAGAATTGCATACTCCCAGCAAGGAAAGATACAGCACTGTTTCTTTTTACCTGCCTGCTTTTTGGGTGGTTGACCATGGTGGTAATTGCTCTTTATTAGAACAAGAATTATACAAGGAAGGAAGGAAAATTCATGATTCATATACATATAAATAACTAATATTTTGAGTCACACTTGACCTTCCTCTACCATTATCTTCAAAGCGGTGGAGAAAGTTAGATTAAGAGGCTCTAGGAAAGCTACTCCTGGGGAAAAGTAGAACATTTGTCTGGATTTTGAAATATTTCTCTCTTTTCTATCAAACCTTTGGCCTGTCCGCTCTTTTTCTTTCCATTTTTGGCAATCTAACTGATCGCAGGCATTGAGAGAATGTGACAGTTTGAAGACTCTAATGTAGTTTCAGCCCAGAAGATGTATATTGATACCAGATTTAACAACGTGTAGCTTTACTAATGCGGGACTATGCCTATACTCTGGACAAAATTGAACAATCTATTTTACTCAAATTGATTTGCTTAAACGGTAAAGAAAATGTAGACTGAGGAATCAGACCTGATTATGAGTATTGCTGAGATATTGTGCAGGTTACCTGGTCTTATAAAGGCTGTAAAACCATTTAAATACCTTGCATTTCTCATGCCTCAATAAAATACTGGACTTCTTGTATCCAACTGTATCCAGTACTTCATCTGAACTTGGTAACACAAAGAGGACTAATGATTTGCGCTGGATGAGAATTGCTGCAAAACTAACCCGGCATGATATAGTGGCAAAACACCATTAGTTCAACTTTTGCATCTTGCAACTTTTGAAAAGTGAACGGTTTTGGCACTCAAATGGTTAAAGAGTGCAATGCATAATACAATTAGGTTCTGATGCTCTGGTAAATAGATTGCTGCTGCCTTGC